AATTATCGGCTCCGTAAAGCTAACGCGATTGAGCCTTCCAAATAAACGAACTAGATAAAAAAAAAAAAATGGCCTGAATTTATAAAGAGACGACATCTTATCCATTTGACAGGTCTTCTGCTCGATTGGAATGACTTTTCGTATGACTTTGACAGATAGTCGATTGTTCCAATTTTAACATATCGTCTCTTTATAAATTCAGGCTTACCAAAAGCTCCATCAAGAGTCATCAATAAGCTGAGCTCCAGCATATTTTGATGATGATATATTTTGCTCTCACGGAGCTATACTGCCCATAATCGCATATCAGTCCCATATGGATAGGAAATCAAGCAAAGATGGGACTGATATGCGATTATGGGTAGTATACTTGATGCTCAAACTGGGCTCTTGCCAACCCGCATCGCTGAGAGGGATGCGGAGCTCGTTCTCGGGTGTACATCGACTCTGCCTACCGAGCAGAAATTTTAACTTCGTGATGCGCTCGCGCAAAGCAGAAAACTTGGAGCTTCGTGATGCAGGGTAGAGAACTGCTTCGGCCTAATCGCCCATTTTGGGCCTATTGAGCAGAGAACTTCAAATAAATCCATGATTTCAGAGTTAACAAGTCTATTATGCGTTTGGTACGATACTTTAGTTAATAAGCTACCGAACGAAGTCAATGAGAACGCGTGATATGAAGGTTTGCACCCATTATTCCCAAAAACAAAAGAAGCGCTCCGACCGAATCAATTTTTATCTTCATCCGATAGGCCAAAGTGAATTAATTGGCGTTTCAATGGCGTTGCAATGCGTTAGGCCGAGTTTAGAATCCGTAGGCCGAGTTTGGCGTCAAGAAGCAGTGTTAGATTTTTGACAATATCTCAACGATTGGTTTTGTCTTTATCAAATCTTACGGTACGTACGGAAAAGTAAATAAATTTGGAAGCCATCAGTAATAATAGCATTCCGTTTGCCACCAAACTGCGCTAGATTAAGAAAGACTAAGTGCGGGTTGTGCTTAATAGGCTGGAAATGGGGTAGTTAACCCTATTCGCAGAGAGCTTGGCTCTTGATGGCTTTTCCCAGTACGCAAGAATGAGTGATTTTGTGTTGTATTCGAGAAAGAAGTGCACAACCAAGAAATTAATAAAAAAATGGAACGTTTGCATATATTCCGTAACTCCAAAGTGGCAATTGTATTCGTAGGGTAACTGTGTATATTCTCGGTAAACGTCCCTATTTTAGGCAAATCATAATAAGTCTCGTGTTTGTAAACTGAATCACGATTTCGGCATTTCAACTGTCTCGTCATCGTATAGCGGATCATCTCTTGTGTTGAAAACTAAAATCGCAATTGAGATTCAAGAGGTATTGGGCTATACCGGGTGAACGGGGTGGGCCAGTTACCTTCGATGGACAAGCTCAGCTGCGATTCCAGCCCCGGACATCGATGGTGATAAAGTTGCTGTGAGGTGGAACACGGTGTTGTGCTGAAGAATCCAGGGTTGTTCTGTCTTTCAAACACCAATTACGTAACTCGCGACCGGTTAATTAATTAACTACACTTTATTTTAGTGAACATGCAAACAATTTAATTTAAAACACTACATATATTCAGCACTACATATAAACTTAAATTAACACGAATTAAAATTCCTCCGTGGGTCTCCGCGCGTGCGATTCGGTGACTTGGTTGAGGTGGACTGGTCGCAGCTTCCGAAGATCGCCGTAGGTAGTCCGGTGCTTCGTTGATGCGATGATTTCCTCCGTCGATATCTGAGAGTGGGTGATATTCTCACCGCTCTTATCACTAGTCATCCTTATCACTCCTACAGCAATCGATGACGATGATGGTGATGATGACGATGATGATGGCTTCGCTCTCTCCAGAGTGAGTGTTCCTGCGTGTGCTGAGAAAACTGATTCGATCGTGCAGGGCTAGATCGACATATCGGTGTGTGGTTCTTGTGCTGCTTTGGTGCTAGTCGCGTGGGGATGCCATGGTTGTAGTCGGATGGGTCACACTCCTCGACATTCTCACCCACCCTGAAATTCGCTGAATTTCTGAAAGTAAAAAGCAGATCCTCTTCGACTGGATGGGATGGGGAAGGGAATGTGGTTCTATGTCGCTGAGGCTGTTTCGTTCGGCTTCGCTCTGTCATCTTCATCAGGAAGCGGCAGGATACAAAGCTTTTCGACCGGTCTTTTTAAAAAACCTGTGGCAGTTTTTAGGGTCACAACTCTGACCACACCGTCCTTACCAGGGTGGACTTCACAAATTCTTCCCATTTTCCATTTCGTGGGGGGTTGGTTATCGTCCTTTATGACTACCAACTTGCCTACATCGACTGGAACTGCTGGCTGCCATCGTTTAGTCCGAGCTTGAAGCTGGCAGAGGTATTCCCTGCGCCATCTCTTCCAAAAGTCTTGCAGTCTCCTTTGCGTTAGTTGTAGGGAATTCAGACGGTTAACTGGCAGCTCTGCTAAGCTGGGTTCAGGGATCGACTGAAGGGATGAGCCGATCAGAAAATGTGCGGGTGTTAACGGCTCGAGGTCATTGGGGTCATCGGAAAGAGGCGTGAGAGGGCGGGAGTTGAGGCAAGCTTCGACTTGAGTTAGCAGCGTATTGAAGTCTTCCGGGGTTACTGGTGTATCGCCAATCACCCTCAGCAAGTGGTATTTAGTTGAGCGGACGGCTGCCTCCCACAAACCTCCGAAATGAGGAGCGCTCGGCGGAATAAAATGCCACTGAATACCATCCTTGGCGCATTCCTTGGATACAGTGTCATTATGGTCGTGGCTCTTCAACAGTTTTAGCAATTCTTGCAATTCGTTTCGCGCGCCGACGAAATTAGTGCCGTTGTCTGAGTAAATATCTGTACAAACACCTCTCCGGGACACGAACCGTCGTAAAGCCTGTAGGAACCGGTCAGTTGATAAATCTGACACGAGTTCCAAATGTATGGCCTTTGTGCAGAGGCATATGAATATAGCAACATATGCTTTAACTGCAGTGCGTCGAGGACCAGGCCGTAGATAAACTGGACCAAAGTAATCAACGCCAGTGGAAGAAAAAGGACGGGATACGGTGACTCGTGCAGTTGGTAAATCACCCATTAATTGTTGAACGGTCAATGGTTTTGAGCGAACGCATTTCAGGCACTTATGAACGATGTTCCTGACGACGCTTCTTCCACCCAACGGCCAAAATCGAAGTCGAATTACGCTTAACATCAGCTGAGGTCCCGCATGAAGTAGACGCTCGTGGTAGTGTTGCAGCAATAACCGGGTGAAAGGATGTCGTGCTGGAAGAACGACGGGATGTTTAGTTTGTTCCGATTCCATAGAATGCTTCAGTCGTCCTCCTACACTGATAGGCAAAATAAAGTGCCCACCCCATCATTTTTTGAATTTCTCTCATTTATTTGGTTCAAATTAAAGTAAATACACTGTAGTATTTTTTATATCTTATTCTTTATATTCTTTTTAAGTTTCACTTATAGAATACCAGATAAAAAGAAGAGACTGACTCGAAGAAAAAAAAATCAAAATGGGTGTAAAAAAGAACAGTGACAAAAAAAAGTGCCCACTGCATTTTAACTCCAGAAAACATAAAATAAAGTAAAAGAATACCAGCCTAATAGTTAATGTGTCCTCCTTTGGCCTTCAGGACCAGCTGCAGGCGCTTCGGCATGCTCTCCACTAGATTCTTCAGGTGCTGTGGATCTAGTTCTTCCCAGGCGCGCTCCAGGGCTTCAAAATAGTTATTTTTATTGGTAACACCAGTTTTGTCAACCCTGGCATCGAGAATCGCCCACAAACTCTCGATGGGGTTGAGGTCCGGGCTTTGTGGAGGCCATTCCAGTGGTTTAATTCGACATGACCGGAAGAAAGACTTAGTCTTCTTGGCAGTATGCTTCGGATCGTTGTCCTGCTGGAATACGAATTTCTCCTCAAGGCCCGTCTGGATCAGCGAAACTTCCAGATTTTCCCGCAGGATGTCGATGTAGGAATCTGCCGTCATTATCCCGTCGATTTTCACCAGGCTTCCCACTCCACCCCACGAAAAGCACCCCCAGACCATCACATTTCCTCCTCCATGCTTCACCGTGCCTTGTAAGTGGCGCTCCTGAAGCTCCTCACCCGATCTACACCACACACGAACCCGTCGCTTCCGGTTGAACAGTTCGAATTTTGATTCGTCCGTCCAGAGAACCGTTTTCCAGAACTCTAGGGGCTTATCAGCATGCTCCTTAGCAAACTTAAGCCGTTTGACTTTGTTTGCCTTGCTGATAAATGGGCGCTTCCGAGCAACTTTGCTGTTCAACCCCTGTGCTACGAGACGGCGACGAACAGTTCGACTGGAAACTGTTAGCTGAAGAGCCTCCTGGATCTCGCGGACAGTTACCTTCGGGTTCTTCTTCACTTCACGCATGATCTTGGTGTCCGTTCTCGCATCCGTTTTGCGCATCCTGCCTCTGCCAGGGCGATCCACCACTGATCCGAACGATTTCATTTTCTGCAGAATTTTCCCGACCGCTGTTTTGCTGATATTGTACTTCCTAGCGACAGACCGGTGCGATTCACCGTTTTGCACATCACGAACAACCAATTTTCGGATACACACGGGAATTGCTTTCGAAATCACTACGTCCTCCATTTTTTTCAACTGATTCAAATGCGATCACGTGTACAAATGCACCAGTTCCACCCGTTTGCTTCAATACATGTCAAACTTTCAAAACAAAAACAATCGAGGGGTTTTCCGATGGAAACTTATCGAAAACATACCGATTTTTGAAGTGGGCACTTTTTTTTGTCACTGTTTTCTTTTTCAATCCAAATTGATTTTCTTTTACTTCAAGTAAAACTTTATATTTTCAGTATTCCATAGGTGTAACTTTAAAAGAATAATAAAGGTAAGACATCGAAACAGACTACGGTGTGTTTATTTGAATTTGAACCAAATAAATGAGAGAAATTTCAAAAATGATGGGGTGGGCACTTTATTTTGCCTATCAGTGTAGCTTGAGCAGTTGATCCTCGGAAAGAAACGGGTTAAACCAACGTAATGGTGAATCCCTTGGGACCATGTTTTCCTTTGTGAGAGCCTCCAATTCCTTGCCGAAGACTTCCTTCTGCACTAGACCAACCAATGTATTTTCTGACTCCGTCAGCTCGGCGGTGGAAAGGAAGGCTGTGTTATTCCGTTGGGAAGACGGTATTCGAAGTAGCTTCATCAAACGAAGCCAGTATGCGGTGCGACGAACGAGATCGGAGTATGACGAAAATTTACGAATGTACTCATGGTTGAACTCTGCGAGTGTGGAAACGCATCCTGCGATAACCGTTCGACGTTTTTCTTCTTCAACCTCTCCTGTTGATTGTATCTCCGGTGATCTAGGCCATTGGTCTGAGTTCTCCTCCAGCCAGGTAGGTCCTCGCCACCAGAATTGGTTTTCCAGAATGTCTTGTGGAGGAATTCCCCGGGAAATCAAGTCTGCTGGATTTTGGGTCCCAGGAACATGAAACCATCGACCACCCTCAGTGATATTTTGGATTTTGGCCGCCCTGTTGGCGACGAAAGTGGTCCAGGTCATTGGGGGAGCCTCAATCCAACGTAAAACGCACGTAGAATCCGTCCAGAAATAGCAATCAGCATCAATCCTAATCGATTCTCGAACCTTGGCGAATAGTTGAGCTCCCAGAAGTGCTCCACAGAGCTCCAGTCTAGGAATACTCTGACATTTCAACGGAGCAACCTTTGATTTAGACGAAAGAAGTCGAACCTTCACCTCTCCGCCCGCATTAGTGCTCCGAAGATACAGACAGGCGCCATATGCCTTCTCCGAGGCGTCGGAGAAACAGTGAATTTCGACTGCTACTGTTTCTGGGATGAGAACACAGCGTTCGATGTGGAGTTGATTGAGAAGAGGTAGTTGTTCGTGGAATTTACGCCACGCCTCACCCACCGTTGGAGGTAGGGGGTGGTCCCAATCCAGTGTATGGCCATTCCCATCCAGTATTATCCACAACCGCTGCATGAATATCTTTGCCATGGTGATAACTGGTCCCAAAAGTCCGAGAGGATCGAACAAGGTCGCAATCATCGATAATACGTTCCGTTTCGTAAGTAATTCACCGTTGGCCAAAGTGGGAATGGTAAACTGAAACCGCAGCATGTCCGTAGATGGAATCCAGGTCAACCCCAAGGTCTTTACGGCTGGATCTGGATCCAAATCAATTCCATCTGAAGGCCGAATAGCTAAGTTCTCTTCTGGAACCCCCGTTAGAGCAGCCGGGCAGTTTGAAGCCCATTTGCGTAGCTGAAAGCCACCAGCTGACATCATCTTATTCAATTGGATCTGCAGTTCTCTTGCTGTTTCCACATCATTCGCACCCGTGATTACGTCGTCCATATAAGTATCTTCAAGGACCGCTCTTGCCGCAAGAGGAAATGTCTTCTCCTCGTCCATCGCTAACTGCTTGAGTGTCCTTGTGGCCAAAAATGGTGCCGATTTTGTGCCATACGTAACCGTGTTGAGCTCGTAGATCTTAATAACCTCCGCAGGTGAAAAACGCCAGAGAATGCATTGTAAGGCACGTTCCAGAAGGAAGATGAGGATTTGGCGGAACATTTTCTCTACGTCCGAGACAATCATGATCTGCCATGTCCGACTGCGAAGAATAATGGATCGAAGTTCCTCCTGAAGAACTGTCCCTGTCTTCAGAACGTCGTTGAGAGAGACTCCGCTTGATGTCTTGCATGACGCATCAAAGACCACCCGTACCTTGGTAGTGGTGCTTGCCTCCTTGAGCACTGGGTGGTGCGGAAGATAGCACCGTTTTACCTCCAGTTCAGTTTCATCCACCTCCCGCATGTGGCCGAGCTTGACGTATTCCTCCATGAAAGCGTTGTATTGCTCACGGAGTGATGGATCCCTGGCAAGTCTGCGTTCCGTTCCTTGGAGACGCCGATATGCGATGTCCTTAGACTCGCCCAACCGTGAGATGGCATCTTCATCCTTCGGCAGTGAGACGGTATACCGACCGTCCGAACCTCGTTGAACCGTGTTGACATAGTTATCTTCACACTGTTTTTCTTCCAGTGAGTGAACCTTGCCTGAATCAACCTCCTCACAGGACCAGAAGCGGGAGATTAACTCATCCAGGCCAACCACTGATGAGACGTTGCAGTTGATATGCCGAGAGCGATTTGGTTCCAAAATCCCACCACTGATGACCCATCCAAACACGGACTCATTTAAGGATGGAAGGTTTGCTCCTAGAGAGATTCTCCGTCCGGTTTCAAAGAAGTCGAAGAAGCATTCGATACCGAGCACGATATCCACTGCGTTCGATTCGAAGAACATAGGATCCGCCAGTTGAATCCCACTCGGAATAGTCCATGTATCCGTGTTGACGGTGGCAGTTGGAAGGTTCACCGTGACCCTTGGCAGGACTAGGTAGCCTAATTCACGAGAGAAGTCAGATACACGTGACCGCAATACCGCTTGAATCCCTTGCCGAACCTTTGTAGCTGCTTGACCTATCCCGGCTACCGAAATGTCCACCCGATTTCGCGTAACTTGTAACCGCTGACTCAATCGCTCCGTAATGAAGTTACTTTCGGACCCGGAGTCCAGTAGAGCACGAGCTGGATGACGATTGCCAACATCATCCTCGATAACCACAACTGCCGTTGCCAAAAGCACTTGGGTTGATTGTTGTTGAGCTGCAGCGGGTGCTGCAGTTTCCGTAGCTGCTAAGGTAGCAACTTGTGTGGTTGATAAACCAGATGACCCTTGCTGATCCTCAGAATTGGACGACTTGTTACCCCCAGCAACTGTCGCAACCTTGGATCCCTTTTCCTTCGCCGGTTTGAAACATACAAGAGTGTGGTGACGTCCCTTGCAGTTCCTGCAAGAGAATTTTGACTGGCAATCCTTAGCGTGATGTCCTGACCTTAAGCAGTTTCGACAGAGTCCATTTAATTTAACAAGACCATCCCTGTCCGAGACTGCCATCCCTTGAAATTTGTTGCACTGATGAAGAAGGTGATCCGATGAACAGGCAATGCAACGTCCCGTAGATGTTTGTGCACCGTAGTTGACCTTCATTGATTGAGCCTTCGGTTTCGGTTGTTGTTGCAATTGGCCGAGACCCCTAGTATCGACGGGCTTCGGTGGCAAGCTGTCCAAAACCTGGATTCTACGCTGAATGAATTCGCATAAATCCTCCAAAGTATCCTCCTTCTTTGTAGATGAGACCTCTTCCCACCCTCTACGCGTGACCGGGTCCAATCGAGCTGTAAGGATGTTCACCAGCAGAAGATCCTTATATTCAGCCGGTTGGATGACTTGGTCGAGAGTCTGCACAATACGTTCGAAGCCTTCAAACAGTATGTGCAAGTCAGCTCCGGATTCCTTTGAAAGCATGGGTAGCTTGAAGAGAGCTTGTACCTGCCGCTTCCTCAGCTGTTTGCTGTTGTTGTAGCGTTTCAACAGCGTATCCCATGCCACCTGGTAATTGGCTGCCGTGATCGGGAGTGGGTCGATCAAGCCCTTGGGTTCCCCTTGAAGGCAGCCCTTCAGATAATGGAATTTTTCCACATCCGGTAGATCTGCCTTCCAATGGATTAGCGACGTGAATAAGTCGCGGAAGCTCAGCCACTCGTCGATGTCTCCACTGAATGTGTGCAGCTTGATCTGCGGTAGACGTACGTGCTCCATGGTAACTGCCGTTGTTCCCTCACCAGCTCGGAAGGACTGCTCTAGTACTTGGGGTTTCTGGAGCTCCTTGATCTTGTCCATTAGGAAGGACTTGATCTCGTAATAGCGATCGCTGAACTCGCTGCGTTCCTTCTCCAGTGAAATCTTCTCAGCCTTGAATTCGTCATGAGCGTAGATCTCCACCATGGTTGCACTAAAGCTCTCCCAAAGCTCGTCCAGTTTCTCAACACGTACCTCCACCTCGGTAATGTTATTGGATTCCGTAAAGGCTTGAATGAATCGGTGGATGTCATTGAGCGACAGCTGTATCTGCTTCAACCTTGCCGTCAATGCTCGCATCGATGGTGTGGATGCGCCACCGGGTGCCATGTTGTCGTCGTTTCGGTAATGCGATCAGCAAAAAGAGAAAGGTGCGGTGTAGTATACTGCAAAAGCCTAGCTCCGCTAGGCATATACTATCTTAATTTACCCGGAGAAACAACTGATTGTGCTTCAAGTTCCAATGAAATCCTGCAGCCACGTGACGTCACACGTCCGGCTTCCGTTCGACGACAACTCAGCAACAATGGTGTGAATCAAGAGGAAAAGAGGTGGTGTAGCAAACAGAGTGAAGACCTAGCTTCGCTAGGCATATACTGCTAAAGTTTTACCCGACAAAGCAGATGGTGATGCTCCAATTAAATCAATCAACTATGCAAGCAGCCTTGAACCCAATCGTCAGAAACCAGCAAGTACTCGAACGGAATGTGGATGAAGAGGAGAGACTGGGTGTAATATCCAACAAAATGGCTTCGGCCAGGCATATACTGCGGCAACTCACCACATGAACCAAACGTTCAATAAAATTCCTAGCGATACCAGCAAACGATCAATCCAATTCCGACGAAACCAAATCTCGAGAACGGGGTGCCAAAAGGGCAATCAGGGCTCAGCGATTAGAAATGTAGAACGAAGAGGGTTGATTCCAATTTAAAACAGTGTATTTACATGCGCCTAGCTTCGGCAGTACACTAATGTGTGTTTACCTGGCAAATATTTGCGCTGCTCCCAGTCTGCGTCGAAAGCGAAGTTCATCGGCCCTTGCACCGGTCGTTGACTCTGAAGACGGTTGTTCACTGGTCGTAGTGGCGGTCGATGACCTCAATCGACGAAGTTGATGACCTCTGATGACCTCTGTTAGGATTGTATGCCAAACCACTGGCTTTCGAATCCAAACTTGATAACTTCCGCCCGTGTCCTCAGCGTGGTTGGCGAAGGATTAGATAGAAGAAACGTCGAATGGTTGGCGTTAGTTTCAGGCAATCTAACAACGACTGGACATATACTGAATTTAAATAATTTACCTGGATATCCAGAGCAAGAGCTGATTCAGTAGTCCTAGTCTTCCGCCGGGATGGTGATGAGCGTGTCGAACCAGAGCGTCCAAGCAATTTCCTAAGTGAGTCCAACTCAGCCGTTGAGCGTTTCCAGCATGCAGCCGTGATCGATCGATGTCCACGATCAATCCTCAATCCAATGAGATGAGTCCAATGGAAGAATGCTTCGATTGTCCGTAAATGCTATGGTTGCCGCTTGATTGTTGTCGAAGAAGGCAATAATGGAAGGGCGCGCGATGGCGACGAATAGTCCACAATAGATCAGCCAATTAAGAATCCGAACCTCGTTTCGAACAATCCATTCAACGGAAAACCAGGTGTTAGAAGGTTGTATTTCCCAGCTCGGCTGGACATATATCGTGCACGCACGGGTTCACTAACCTGACCAAACTTCGTTGGGTTGAATTCGAAGCCAACCGAAAACCAGTAGCGATGGCGGTGTGACGCCAAATCCAAAGCGTGCAAGTGTCGTCAATAGAGCAAACCTTCAGCAGAATGGCGCTTGCCAACCAAAAGGCGATGGCGATCCAATTGCTATTCCAGCTATGACCGAGTGTAGTGTCGCGAAGTTTCCGTACAGTCCACAGTCTGTCCTGACCCGTATCCGGTTCGAAGGACCAAAATGAACGGGGTGGGCCAGTTACCTTCGATGGACAAGCTCAGCTGCGATTCCAGCCCCGGACATCGATGGTGATAAAGTTGCTGTGAGGTGGAACACGGTGTTGTGCTGAAGAATCCAGGGTTGTTCTGTCTTTCAAACACCAATTACGTAACTCGCGACCGGTTAATTAATTAACTACACTTTATTTTAGTGAACATGCAAACAATTTAATTTAAAACACTACATATATTCAGCACTACATATAAACTTAAATTAACACGAATTAAAATTCCTCCGTGGGTCTCCGCGCGTGCGATTCGGTGACTTGGTTGAGGTGGACTGGTCGCAGCTTCCGAAGATCGCCGTAGGTAGTCCGGTGCTTCGTTGATGCGATGATTTCCTCCGTCGATATCTGAGAGTGGGTGATATTCTCACCGCTCTTATCACTAGTCATCCTTATCACTCCTACAGCAATCGATGACGATGATGGTGATGATGACGATGATGATGGCTTCGCTCTCTCCAGAGTGAGTGTTCCTGCGTGTGCTGAGAAAACTGATTCGATCGTGCAGGGCTAGATCGACATATCGGTGTGTGGTTCTTGTGCTGCTTTGGTGCTAGTCGCGTGGGGATGCCATGGTTGTAGTCGGATGGGTCACACTCCTCGACACCGGGAATACAAACATAGAGTCGGAGATAGAAACTTCTACGCGTTTCTATCATGTATAAGTTGCATATTGCAAATTTAATGCTATGCACAATTTTTAAGTAGAGTAAATGCATTTTTTACCCAGCTGATTATTTAAAATGTTAATCGATGAACGCGTGATAATTAGGGAGGGGGGTTCTAAGATTTTATGACAAGCAATGCATTAGGTACAAGAAATCGTCACGATAGAGAGGAGGGGTAATTTTTTGCTCGATTTAGCGTGACATAATTAATGCATGTGCCCTAATTATCACGCGTTCATTAAATAACGTTTCAATTAACATTGATTTAAATTTCTTTTCAAATTGAAGTTGTGTTTTGTTTTAATTTTTTTCTCACAAGATTTACACTATATTTACCATCTACTGAATCTCCTAACTTGTTGGATAACAGAGCCGTACCAAAATTTGATTTGCGTTTCTGCGACATCAACAACGCTACACCAACAATTGAAATAGGCGGAACAACCAAACGTAAACAATTGTTTTTAACACAAATTCCTCGAAAATCAAAGCACATCCAAACAATCTAATACCATCATCTGATAGAGCAAACTTCCTTTATCGAATGTCAATTTTAGTTTACGTGGTAGTGTTTTGATTCTCGAGAATTATTTGTTTAAAGCCATTGCTTACGTTGGGTTGTTCCGAGGGGGGTGACACATCCAGATTATCGCCTTTTTACCATAAATCACGTTCAGCTTTTATTTATCTAATCACTGTGCGCCATCTGTTTTCATCTGTGAAATCTACTTCCATCGACTATCGCAACTTTCATCTTTCTTCACATCGCTTGCATCTTCTCGTGAACGAATCAATCACCGAACGAAAAAAAAAACAGCAAGCCATGTTGTTTGTTTACGTTTTGCTTCGCAGTTTTTTCCATAAGTTTTCATCGAACTTTTTGCTGCTCAAGCTAGTGTTCAAGTGATAATTTCATGTGTGGATAATTTTAGAAGATATTGCGGTTATACTGCATAGCTCAGAAAAAGCTGAAAAAGCCCCCTTGCGAGATGAGATGGAGAAAGATTAGTACATAATGTATACATTTGTACACCGATTTCGTACATAATCTAAAATAACATGACACGGTTGGATCGAGCCACTTTATTTCAGCATTCGTAAGTAACTTGTAGTTTTGTATATATTTAAGCAGTTATTGTATTGTTATTAATTTGATTTTTAATTTTCACTTTGATGGTCGTGGTGAAAACAGAATTGGATCTGGAAACTGGCAGCATCGATTCCGAAACCTATCCCAATATTTACATACTGCATTGGAAGATTGAAGCAGTAGATCTCGGTCCTGAAGGAGCGTAACCTTAATACAAGAATTAAATAATTTTAAAAGAGAAGTTTATGAGTTTATGTTCTTAAACCCCATAACCTTTCAATATCTTTCCAGAAAAAGTGTTACAATTGAACAAACTGCCAAAAAGCTCATTCGTTTGGTGTTCAACGGTCATATCCCGCTACCGGATTCCAAGTTATTGGTTGCATCAGGACTGTTCGACATTTGTGTCGTGTAGTCTGATAAACAATCCAAAATCTGAAGTAGTGCCTACGTGCCGGGAGACAGCGCTGACAGTTTACGGGTTCGGCAAGAGAGTAGTGAGCAACCGACGAAGGCTGATATGCTTCCGACGGAGAACGTGCTGGGGGAATCATAGGGCCCTATTATGTAAGACGTGATCACACCCACTATGGGACAAATTGCATCAACACACTTAGTTTTTTTTGCCGAGATGGGCACCACCGAGCAGCTCTGCATTTTATTTTGCTGGATCTTAATGAAAAACTTGCCGAGATACAGCTAACAAATGGGAGTTTTGGCGAGATTTTGGCTAACAAACATAAATTTTGCTGAATTTCGGCAAGTTTTTCACTGAGAACCAGCAAAATAAAATGCCGAGCTGCTCGGCGGTGCCCATCTCGACAAAAAAAATCTAAGTGTTTTCATCGATATGATCATCTTTTGCTTGGCTAAGTTTGTCAATACACCATAAAATAGTCAGCATTGATTTTAGTTTTAGTGTATTCAACTAAGCCTTGTATACATTGTAACACTTTAAAAATAAATACAATTTTAGACTATATGAAACATGTTTTGTTCTATTGTGTTACCTGACTCATAATGAATATACGTTGTATCCGTGACCCTCGTCTAGTTTAACATAGCATAATGCAAGTTAAATTAGACGAGTTCATGTTCCCTCGGATACAACGTATGAATATTCGTTAAATCAGGTAACACAGTAGCACTTTTTCAAAAACCGTCTGGCCAGGAAACGGTTAAAGTCAGAGCCTCATCTCTGTAGCCTCAGACAAACAAAATGAAAAGCCATCGATTTTGCTAATTACAAATTATTATTTTTTTATTATAAATAGGTAACCATTATATGAAAGTATAGTACAGCAAAGTAAGAAATATATTATCGTTCATTTTTAATAATACTGTTTGTGAGGTGATATTCGAGATTCAATATTCTCGTTTTTGTTTCATATCAAAGTGCAGTACAATACTTCAACCAAATCGTCCATTCTATAACAACATTTGATAAGGGCAAAATTGGTTCTATAAATATTGTCATTAACCGTCCTTTTACGGCGAATAAAAGTTAATGAAATGTTAGCACCGAGAGAATTATCTTATATTTTTCGAAAAGAGCAGAATTGGCCGCCAA